GATGGATATGGATGAAAATAGATGTGGAAGTTGTGGGTGATGGATATAGATGAATATGGATGTAAATGAATATTTTATTATTGGGAGAGAGAGTGAAAAATCCTAAATAGTAGGAAGAGAAGTGAAGGGAGATGCCACGTATTTTTTTATTTTTCTAAAATTATGAGAATTTAGGAATAAGTTTTTGGAGCCTTTTGAGAAAGTATTAGGATCCTCTGAAGTTTCTCCCCCTGAAGTGATCCCGAAGTGGGGTGATCCAACGGCTCAACATGTAACTAACTAAAACGACGTCGTTTTGGTTAGTAATTTCAAAAAAAAAAAAAATGCTTTCATTCAAAATTCCCTCAGATCTGATATGTGAAGCATTAGAGAGAGAGAGAGAGAGAGAGAGAATGCAAAGGGCTGAGAGGAGGAGCTTTCGATCCACCCCCGACTCGCCTCTGCCACGCCGCTTCCGTTGTCACGCCGCTGCCCGCCATACTCCAACAGATTGAAGGAAAAAAGAACAGGTTCATTCATCCTCCAAACTTAAAATATTAGGGCTTCGAATAAAAAATTAGGGAAAATTTGAACTTGGCTACCAGATGTCAATGTTGACTTTGATTAAAGTTTCTTTCATTTTCTGCTTCGTGTTTTCAAGAAAATCTGGTTTAATAGAGAAATGTGGATTGATTATATGTTTATTTATCTCTGCAAATGTGAGCACTAGGGATTGTTTATTTGGTGTTAGGGAATGTGTGTTCTCTGTAAATGCAAAATCTGAACGTGTGTTCTTTGCTTCATTGGTTCTTTGATTTCTTTAAATCAAAACCTCACATTAGCTATAGGAAAGCAAAATTGGATCTGAGGTACACTCTGTCATTCTAAATGTGATCATGATGTTTATTGCAAATGGTGTTTATTCAACACATTTTATATTTTGCTCCATTTGAGGTTTTAATGCAAAATCAATCCTTGTTAAAGTAGTCAACATGAACCATATTACTGATTTTTCTGCTTAAGCTCAACTATCAGCCTAAACATATTAGTTATTATTGATTAAGTTTATGATGTGTTTGTTTTGTTGAGCCCTCTCCCTTTGCGTGAGTATCTAATTCTACTTCTGGATTAGTTTATACAAGAAACTTTGTGTGTGTAGTGTTTTGTTAATCCAAAGTTGAATCTATGGTGACCCATTTGGTTAATTGCGCTCTTGTTGATGTTATATCGTCAATTTTATGATTTGGGTTTGGATTGGGTGTTTATACCCCTTGTGTTTGCTGCGTTGACTTTGTTGCTGTGAGGTTCAGCTATGAAATCTTTGTGAATCTGATTACTTTGATGTGAGGTTGTGCCTGGATGAGTTGTTAATTTGAACTATGTGGATTAGATTTGGGATAAAGCTATAAAGTTTGTAACATTTTGTGCCAAAATCTTGGTGGGTTCTATAGATTGGGATTGCTTAAATTGGATTTGTTTCTTATAATGAAGTCTGGCAATGTGCACTAGTATGGAGTTTAGTTATAATTTGTTTGTTTCTTCAGTTACATTGGTAGCTTAAGGTCATTTAAATGAGGAATGGTTTGATGGTGATGAAACTTTTTATGCTGAAACTTTTGTTAGGATTATTCTTGTGGATTTAATCACATTCCCTTGTAAAATTTATTTTTTTTAATATCAAAACTGTTATTTTATTTTCTTGTGGAGCTGATTTGATAATTGATCTTTAGTGTACCATGTAGTTCTTAAAAGTAATTGTAGTGTATTATTTTGAGGAAAAACCCAAATCAGATGGTGAAATCTGATTGATGATATAGATTATGTTATCACTGTGTTACACCATATTATTTTACTTGAGATTTGCTTGACTCAATATTTATAAATTCCCTGCTCCCATTGCCCATTTCATGTACTTATTTACCTTTATAGATGGCAGGATTCACTCCCATTACCCATTTCAAGTGATTTAGAATTTGAGTCCTACTCATTGTTGTTATGTTAGGTAAAAAAATGTCAACATCAAATGCATCTGTGAGTGATATTAGTGAAATTCAGTTTAGAAATCGAAAATGTCGTTGTGGGGTGAGAGTAGCATTCAGGATTTCAGAGTCAAAGGACAATCCAGGGACGGTATACTTTGCTTGCCCTTCAAACAACACCAATGAATGCGGCTTCTTTGAGTGGTGGATGCCTTTACATAAGCAGCGTCAATGGTTGAAGATGATAAGGGAGGAAAGCGACGAAAATTGTAATATCAACCCTTTGGTCAACGAACTGATTGTATCCAATGATGAGCTGAAAGAGATGGTTACAAAGTTTACGAAAAAAAGTAAACAAATGGTTGTAGAGATTAGACAACTTCGGGAAAAGTTGCACCACGCCATTGTAATGATGTTATTTGGATTTGGACTTCTTTTGTTGTTTAAATATTAAGTGTAATTTAAATTCGGATTTGGACTTCGCCTTTTGTAAACTAAATATTATGTGTAAATTAAGTTGGTTGCTGACTTTGTTTGTTTGTTTGGATTATTGGTTTGGATTGTTGGTATGGTATGTTACTATTTTTTGTGCTTTTAGTTCATGTAAAATCCTCATCATTTGGGGATTAGGTTATGCATTTGTTGTTCTATGAGGTGGTTTTTGTATGCTAGGATTGAAGGAATAGAAATGTACTGGAAAGAACTTATTAGTGTTCTCTTTATTTGGTGATGAAATGAGAAGAACAAGAAACCTTAATGACATCACAACACCACTTCCCTAGTCGAGTACATTTAAAAAAAAAAAATTAAATTCAATACGTTTGACGAGTGTAGAAAGAAATCAAATAGGTAAATTTACAATGTTCTCATGACTGATTAGGGGTATAGTTTTTTTCAACAAAGTTGGTCTGAGTTGATTTAGGGGGGGGGGGGAATCAATCAATCTGTCATTGGTGAATGGTGAAATAATCCTTCCTCTAGAACACATGTAACAATTTGAGCACCATTTCAACCAAATTTGAGCACCATTTCAGCACAATTATCAGCACAACTTTGAGCACCATTTCAACAAAATTTGAGCACCATTTAAACCAAGTTTCAGCAACATATCAGCACAAATTTGAACACCATGTCAGCACATATTTCAGCAATATATCAGCACAAATTTCAGCAACATATCAGCACAAATTTGAGCACCATTTCAACCAAATTTCAGCAACATATCAGCACAAATTTGAGCACCATTTCAGCACATATTTCAGCAACATATCAGCACAAATTTCAACAATTTCAGCACATATTTCAGCAACATATCAGCACAAATTTGAGCACCATTTCAGCACATATTTCCACAACATATCAGCACAAATTTCACAAACATATCAGCGCAAATTTCAGCACCATTTCAACCAAATTTCAGCAACATATCAGCATAAATTTGAGCACCATTTCAACCAAATTTCAGCAACATATCGACACAAATTTTAGCACCATTTCAGCACATATTTCAGCACCAAAGTCTGCCAAGTCTTCAATATTACATATCCAACAAAAAAGTTTACAAATTTCAGAAATTTCTACATTCACATGAAAAGTGTTCAATATTACATATCCAACAAAAAAAATTAACGCTACAATATTGACGCGTGATCCATATTCCCATGCCCTTTGCCACGCCCATATAGTACCTAAAAAAGAAAACAAATATATAAAAGGAACCATAAAATAAAATGGAACTTTAAATGAATGAATGGAAAAATAAAAGAGGAAAGGCGAAAAATAAATTACTTGACTACATGCAGGACTATTCGAGGCTTGTGAGTCATAACCTCTTGCATTGTTAAGCAAGGCTTGATAGCTTTCATGGACGGAACACATCGATGGCATTGAAAAAGGCATATTATGACAAAGACAACTTGGCTGCAACAATAACAAACACATATAAATTTAAAATGGTACAAAATATTTACAAATAAACATAATAAAACTTTTTATTAAACTAACTTACATCATAGGCGGGATACGTAAATTGAGAAGACGAAGCATTAACTTGAGGAACACATGTCGACAATGGAGGAAGTTGAGGAGCACTTATTGAAAATAAAGGAGCTGACTGAGGAATACTCGGTGAAAATAAGGGAGGTGGTTCAGGAGCACTCGCCGAAAATAAGGGAGAAGGTTTAGGAGCAACAGACATGAGAGTTTGAGAAGCATTATGTGAACTAGGTTGAGGAGCAATAGACATGGGAGTTTGAGAAGCATTATGTGAACTAGGTTGAAGCGCAATTGACATGGGAGTTTGAGAAGCATTATGTGAACTTGTTTTATTTTTCTTTGCCAACGCAAGATCCAAACCTCCTTTTGTCTGCCTTCGTCCCTTGCTAGTGCACTCTCTTCATTTGAGTCCTTTTGCTTGAACTATATTTGTATCCGCTACACCATCCATTTCAAAGCTTTCGAGGCATGTGTCGGGAGGGCTTTCTAGTTCAATAGTATCTGAAAAAAGCATATTGAATTTTGCGCTTACACTGCTGGAAAATTCACTTTTAGCGGCGCTTAAAAAACGCCGCTAAAAGTACTAAAAACATCGCTAATTCTTTTTATGACGTTTAGTACCAAATGCCGATGACGCGGCCGTCGCTATAACTTTATGACGTTTGAAAAACGTCGTTATATTAGTATAGGCGGCGTTTTAAAAACGCCGCCAAATGTCCTACCTAACTGTACTATGACGTCACTATGACATTTAGCGACGTTTTTTAAAACGCCGTCATAGACATTTATACATTTTTAAAATCTAGCCATTAGGGTGGGATATAGTGACGTTTTTTAAACGCCGCCATAGCCTTTTTTTTAATTTTTAAATTTTTTAATTTTACATGGTTGAACAAAAAAAAAATACCTGTCAAACTAATAATTGATTTTTATTCAAATAATAAATAAACTAAGCTTGAAAACAAAATTAAAAATAAAAAAACAATACATTGCATACCTAAGAATAACAACAATTTAGACTTTAAATCCATCAATTAAAATCAAAATGGTCAAGAAGTGTAATTTGCCCAAAAAAATTAAAAAGGAATAAAAAGCACACTAATATGGCTTATATTAAAAACATCTGAAATTAGATAATCATTTAGCTCTTCACTTGCATCATTCAGCAAAACATCAGCTACATCTTTTGCAACTTTTGCTCTGCCTCTGTTCTTCCTTTTCGCTTCGATGATTTTATGTACTAATTCAACCATTTTCTTCTTTGCCTGAAACAACCCATGTTCAAATTTATTATTAAAAATGTTAATTTCCACAAAAATATTTTCCATCAAAACAAATGGGGCAAAGTTTACTTATTTGATGATCATGGAAGAAAAACTCTCTGCTCTGAGTTTCCACAAATTATGCAACAGGTTTGCAATTTTCTCTTGAATTAATAAATTGGATAAATAATAACTGAGATCAAGCAGATGATGGCTAACTGAACTAGGATCTGCTATTGAGATAACATTGATTTCAGACTTCAGTAGTATTTGAAAGCAACCAAACAACCAACATCTCTATTTGTTTCTGCATCCATAAAGAATGATTCATTGCGACAAATTGTTGTTGATACTAAAAGGATGAACCATGCTACTTTTCATAGAAACTTAAAGAGGCATTCATCTGCTTGATCTCAGTTATTATTTATCCAATTTATTAATTCAAGAGAAAATTGCAAACCTGTTGCATAATTTGTGGAAACTCAGAGCAGAGAGTTTTTCTTCCATGATCATCAAATATCTTCTCCAAAGTAATGTCTTGAAGGGCGACCAAGGTTGTCTCAAGCATGTCAAGACCAGCCTGGTTAGCAAAGGTGAAAACTGGCAATGCCTGCATGTACAGTTAATTGAAAAGATAATAAGCTTGTAGAAGAAGCGTAATTAAAAGCTATCTAATTTTTGTATTTTAGGGGTCTAAAGTAACTGGGATTTTTAACTGTGACATATCACCCTCTATTCTGTATTCAAGACCCATGTCACAGAGAGAGAGAGAGAGACAGAGAGACAGCTGAAAATTTTAAGCCACATACCTTTAAAGAGCAGCACATAATAGCATCTGTGTGATGCCAAAGGGTTTTGAGGGTGGTTTCACTTCCTTCACTGCCAGACTTGAGAAGCTCTACTCCCAAATAACACCTATCAAGAAAGAAAGAACACACCGAGGACCAGTGAGAGCAAAAAAATTTATTTTAAGCCCCCCAAAAGACCAATTGCTACACTTCGGGACAACGGAATTCAAAAACTAGATTTTTAAAACTCCTCTTGATTTGACCTATTAAATAGAGTATGCAAAGTTCAGAAATTTTGTGTTCATTGGCATCCATCTACGAACACACTATTACAATCTAATCCAATAATGCCACAAGGAAGATATAAAACTTCAAACATCAAAGTCATGCTCCACTGTACCTTCAAATGCAAATTCAAATGCTATTGTCATCACAGATCTTGTACTGCCACCATTAGAAGTATAATCATTAGATGCTTTATTTCCAGCCAGTCCAATCTCGAGAGCAGAAGCAAGGTCAAAGGTACGATTTGGACTGGAAGCTTCCTACAAAATGTCCCAGTTCATCAAATAAATGGAAGTCCAAAGAAGAGTTTAAAGTAGAGAAAAAAGAGAAAGAATGATAGCCGAATACAACAACTATAACGTAATTCTAGATGCTGACCTTGCCAGAATCAAGAGGAATGATGCGAAAACCAGAAGGCAAAAGAGGTGCATCATCAGCAAAAGAGGCATCGATAGGAGCAAATATAAGTTCAGCACAGGTGCCAACAGCATTCTCATCCATTCCGCTCCATAGCTGTTAGGAAAGTATAAACAACGACATTAAGCAAGAAGGTTAGGGCCATAAAAAGTAATGGATAAAAAAAAGAACGAGGACTTTGTAAAAATGAACTAGTAGTAACATTTAAAAATATCCCCATTACAAAAAAAATTCTGTGAAGATATGAACCAAAACTTTAGGCTTGTTGGGGGGAACATGCCCACAGACCGTGATAATTCATGCATTAAATATATGACAAAAGATATGAAGAACCAAAACTTTAGGCTTGTTGGGGGGAACATGCCCACAGACCGTGATAATTCATGCATTAAATATATGACAAAAGATATGAAGAACCAAAACTTTAGGCTTGTTGGGGGGAACATGCCCACAGACCGTGATAATTCATGCATTAAATATATGACAAAAGATATGAAGAACCAAAACTTTAGGCTTGTTGGGGGGAACATGCCCACAGACCGTGATAATTCATGCATTAAATATATGACAAAAGATATGAAGAACCAAAACTTTAGGCTTGTTGGGGGGAACATGCCCACAGACCGTGATAATTCATGCATTAAATATATGACAAAAGATATGAAGAACCAAAACTTTAGGCTTGTTGGGGGGAACATGCCCACAGACCGTGATAATTCATGCATTAAATATATGACAAAAGATATGAAGAACCAAAACTTTAGGCTTGTTGGGGGGAACATGCCCACAGACCGTGATAATTCATGCATTAAATATATGACAAAAGATATGAAGAACCAAAACTTTAGGCTTGTTGGGGGGAACATGCCCACAGACCGTGATAATTCATGCATTAAATATATGACAAAAGATATGAAGAACCAAAACTTTAGGCTTGTTGGGGGGAACATGCCCACAGACCGTGATAATTCATGCATTAAATATATGACAAAAGATATGAAGAACCAAAACTTTAGGCTTGTTGGGGGGAACATGCCCACAGACCGTGATAATTCTTTTTTTTAGAACAGCACATTTAGAACATCCACAGCTCGGCAATCGCGATACCACGAAGGCCGATCCTTAAGGATTTCTGCAACCTGGAAGTAGCGAAGCATAACCGATAAATGCTTCACATAAACTCCACAACTACTACAAAAAAGAAGAAAGAATGGGGAGACTATCGTACCCTTGCAGGCTCTAAACCCACCAGGCCGCAAGCACGTGCTGCCACACCAGTGCAACCATGAGAAATAGCAACGATTCCAATGGAATCCGGACCAGGCTAAGCATAAAAGAAAGCAGTTAGTTCAGAAAGAGACCGATCATCAACTCGGTTTTTAACATAACAAATGTATTATTAACCCTGTCAATACCATGAGTAAATACTATCCTAGTGTATAATGCTTAACCAAAAATTGAGAAATGACAGAAACTATCCAGTATACACATTTTGTGTGTCCTGAAATGAAACAAATACTATAATTAATCGGATCATGTCCCGCATGTATCATAACATTCAGTAAACTTGTATAATTCATTAGTTTAACAGCCGCATAAATTATGTCACCATAAGCACAGCACAACACAGTTTGATAAGAAGCAATACATCGACACTGACACTACATAGCCACTCATACGTAATAGCATAGCTTGCTACAAAAAGCTTAACAAGCCATCTGTCATCGCATGAACAAAAGAAAAAACTAGCAAAATAAATTTCAAGCCCACTAAAAGAAAAGATCACACATTTCTGAAGTGTACCAGCAGGTTCTACAGACATCTACTGCAATTAAATAGACAACACCTTTTGAACACTAGTTACCTCACTTAAGGTCTTAACAGATATATTTATTTACATACATCAAAGATCAAAGATTGGCTTTTGAACACTAGTTACCTCAATTAAATAGACAACACCTTTTGAACACTAGTTACCTCACTTAAGGTCTTAACAGATATATTTATTTACATACATCAAAGATCAAAGATTGGCTTTTGAACACTAGTTACCTCAATTAAATAGACAACACCTTTTGAACACTAGTTACCTCACTTAAGGTCTTAACAGATATATTTATTTACATACATCAAAGATCAAAGATTGGCTTTTGAACACTAGTTACCTCAATTAAATAGACAACACCTTTTGAACACTAGTTACCTCACTTAAGGTCTTAACAGATATATTTATTTACATACATCAAAGATCAAAGATTGGCTTTTGAACACTAGTTACCTCAATTAAATAGACAACACCTTTTGAACACTAGTTACCTCACTTAAGGTCTTAACAGATATATTTATTTACATACATCAAAGATCAAAGATTGGCTTTTGAACACTAGTTACCTCAATTAAATAGACAACACCTTTTGAACACTAGTTACCTCACTTAAGGTCTTAACAGATATATTTATTTACATGACAATGCAGGGATGATTGGCTTGAAACATCAAACCTCACTTAACGCCGTCATATCCCCTCTTTTTTTTTTTTTGGAAATTGTACTAATTTTTATTTGATTGAATTAAAAAAATACCTGTAGTAATACTGACATATAAAATATTAACTCTCATTCAAACAACAAAAATGAAACATTAATTCAGTTTCTTATTCAATTAATATCCAACTTCCATTCAAATACCTGTAATAAATATAAAATAACTAACATATAAAATAATAACTCTCATTGAAATAACAAATGAAGCATAAAATAATCACTTGACAAAAAATAAAAAGCTCAAAAACGGTTTTAGCATTATAAACCAAACAATGAGTTTGGTCCATTTACATCCGAACTTCCAATACAATGCGAATGAGTTTGCTATTCAATATTATAACTACCGAATGTTTTAATGGGATTGCCATTGAAATTGTAATTGGTTCTTTCTACTATTGCTTGTGTGATTTATTACCCAATAACAACTCATCCTTTTCTAGAGTCCAACTCATCTCCTCTTATTAGTGAACCCCACCATTAAGCCATCACTCCAACATCTGCATGTGTTGGATACCCAGTCATAGAGATTCTAGATATGCACTTACGATATAATCTCAATAGACCTCTTGGAACTTCAAACAGCTAAATGTGCTAAAGACAATAATATAAGACTAATTTGAAATTCTTGAAAACCTCTTATTAAAAGGTCAAGTGTCATGCTATACACACTACTCTACAGAAAAAGAAAAATAACATTATTGAACCACTCATTAGCAGCCTCAAATAAGAAATATTTTTACACTTCAAGAAGCATCAGACGTAACTAGTTCATGCATGAATTTACTATTTATATGGTCATTATCTGTAAGAACATTTACTTATTGGCAACTGGAGTACTATATATAAAACAGAGCATGAAAATTACCTGGTGAATTAATTGGTAAAAGCTATGCTGACCATTTGTTCCTGGTTCACCGAAATCGATTTCACCAGCCTCATAGGGAAGAGCCACACCATGAATTGATAAGATGCTGGGAGACATTCTCACTTTGCCTCATAGGGCAAATGAAACAGATGTGAAGGCTTCATCCTGCAAGATTGTGAAGTCGCCGTGAGCTTCAGGGTGCTTCGACTGCTCATTAAGAACATGTCTAGTAATCGTCATTAGGTCTGTCCTCTGTGCTTCGCCTGTGTGATCCATTAATCATGCTTCATTACTGCATCTACGAACAGGTTCCAAAGAAAGGAAAGATCTATTCAACAAATGAAGGAAATGCCCAGTATTGGGATGAACCAACCACAAAGTAAATGTAGCTAAATTTGGCAATTGTCATCTTTCTATTACCTTTAAAAGGCTAATAAATTTTCTTATATTCATTTAATTTCAGGTATGTTGAAAATAGCAAGTTCCCTAAGGATGGTTCATCACCAAAGTCCCTAAGATACATTGGAAGGTATACAGTTTTTTGGCATTACAAGTTTTATCGCCATGTCAGCATGTCAATCTGTGCCTATGTATCAAGGGTTGAGAGATCTGTGCGCATGTAGTAAGGCTCTGATTCAACATAAGGTTTTCACTAAAAGGGGCGCGTGTAGTTTACCACATTCGGAGGCGTTTCCATTATAAAACGGTGTCGTTTTTCTTAATAGAATATGCGGCGTTTATAAAACGCCGTTAAATACTAATAACAGTGACGTTTACAGAAACGTCGTTAACAAAACGCCATCAAATCCTCATTTTCCTGTAGTGTTAACATGCTTTCAATGTTTGCAATTAAGTCATCCGCTTTCTCTATCGTCAAGTTATTTGTTTCCTCACTTCGGAAGCTCTACACGCTACTGCTCTGAAAATTGCCATCAATGATCTAAAGCATGAATTTTGATGCAATCTTACATCAACCTTAATATCATGCCCACACCTATCTTTCACATTTTCAGTTCTTGCTTTTTCAATCCATCTCTTGAGAATATATTGGGAAGGGATCTCTTTGAATTTGAGGGTCTCTCTAAGGATCTTCAAACAATGACTACACAAAATGCCTTTCATTTCAAACTTCTTACAATTGCAAGTGAGTGAACCATCACACTCCACTCTCACTTTCCTCACCTTTACACCATCACTATCAAGAACCGTATAAATGGTACTCTCACCACAAATTTCATTTTCTTCAATGTTTACTTCAAGGGACTTGACATACTCATCTTGAAATTCTTCATAAATTTTATTTGTGTAAACATCTGCAGCTTGCTCCATAATCTTCACTTTAATATTCACCCTTGGCAACTTTTGGCATAGAGCATATTCGGCTTGTAACTCTTTGTACCCTTCTCACAAAGAACACGATCAAAATGCATGAAAAATTGCATTAAGTTATGATCAGATTGAATGAAATCCTTCAAGAATGCATTAAAGGATTCACTAAGTTGGGTGTTACTCATACCTATGCATTTCTAACATATGGGCAACCCCATTTTTTCTTGACTCCAAATGTTAACTTCAACCAATGATTATCTCACACTTCATACTTGTCAAGCATTTTCTCAAATTTTAACGTAAAATCATCCTCATCCTCAATGTCGTACATATATTTGGATAA